GCATTGTGGGCATTGTAGGTATTCTAGGATCAGCTAATCAGAGCCAGCGGTTTTTGTTACACGGGCATTTTGCTGTTAAGTGCCGTCGTAACTTGAATTTTCCGTTAAATGGGGTATTCGTAAGTCCGGGTTCCACTGTATTGTAAAACAACTGATTGACATCAAAAAATTAAGCAGGAAGCAGCATAAAGTCTGATGGTATTTTAACTCGTTAGAGATTAATTTCTTCAGCTTACCGATAACAAAGTTTTAGCTCACCTGCTCTGTTCGGCTGTAGAAGCAAGAGACCGTGAGTCCGCACCTTGACCACCTGGTCAGCTTGACTGGGACAAAAAAATCGGTCCGGGCATTTTGACTAGAGAGTGGCCACAAGGTTTTATAGGAAAAACCATAAAGCCTTTGGATGAAAACAAACGCTTTTGTGACAGTGATGTACACTGTCTTGTTGGTATATATGTATGAGTTCTAAACAGTTTACATCAGATGACCACTTAAGGACATCTCTTGATTTCACCTTCGTGTTTCCCTCTCACCAGATATCCAAACCCATATCATGACAAGCAGCTTTTACAGCTGTGGCTCCAGTAAACATCAGCTGATACTAGAAAGTAATATTAAATTAATTCTAACAACAGCTGCTTAAATGTGCTGCTGTTGTTTAGTGCGACATCCGCTGGTTTCCTCTTTCTGGTGCAAAGTGGGCGATAAACAAACAAAAGAAAAAAGCTGATCAGCTGATCATTGACTAGTTTCATGATTGAAGTAGCAACAGGAGTAGGAGGGGGGAGAATGAAAGAAGAAGAGGCAGCTGTGCAGCGTAAAGACACAGAATAACTCCAGCTTTTCTGTTTTTCATTCTAGCAGAAGTACAGGACAAATTGCGTTCCTTTTCATCTCAATACGGATGTATTGTAATTGGTCCAGCCCAGAGTCCATCATGACCAACTGGCAAATCCACCACCTTTCATTGTTTATACCATTACAAAAACAAACAAACAAACAAACAAACAAACATAAAAACATAAAATTACCATCGGCCCAACGGGCAAATTCCCAGTATGCCCGATTCCAGTCCAGCTTTGGGGTCAGCTGGTGGGTAGCAGGCATCTCCGAAAAAGTTAGAGCACTCTGGCAAATATGTGATGTCTTGATAAACTGAGCAGATATTTGAAGTTTATACGGCAACATCAGTTTATTTCATGATCCAGAAAGACTAATATTTTAAACTCCGCCATTCTGCATTCCTCTGCCACTGCCTCATTTGAGTTTTGGACAAAATGCTGTTATTGTGTGTAATGACAATCGCAAACACTAAAATATATTTCTTGCACACAGAAATGAATTTTGTTTGGTAAAATAATTTTCTCCTCAACATGCAACATTTGCGCTTGCAATTTTTTTTTAGGTGCGCTCAGAATAGAGGCACTAAAATAATGCCATAGAAATATTGAGATGAAATCAAAATTTATCCCATGTTTTCCCCAGCCCGTTATGTCTGTGCTCTCTCCGTGTTCTCTCCTGCCCCCCTGTCTGCACCCCTGTGTACTTCCTGTTTTACTTTGACAGTCTCCCGTCAGCATGAGTCAGTGTTGTGTTACTCCTGCCATGTCTTGCTATGATTATCAGTGTCAGCTGTGTTCCCCATGTGCTACTACTTTCCTCGTTGACCCTCTGTGTATTTATGTCCGCGTCTCCCTCAGTTCTGTGTTGCGTTCTCCCTCATAGCTGTGTGATTCTCCCTGTATCTCCTGTTGCACATTATAATTAGTTTTTCCCAGTTTAGTTTAGTTTTGTATTGTTGGTATGATCTGTTTTCCCAGCAATAAAGCTGTGCTTTTGAGTTTAAGTTCTGTCCCCCTGAGTTTGCGTTTGGGTCCATTCCTGCCTGCCACACAGCCGAATCATGACAGGTTTATTAGATTTCCCCTTGTGTCTTTGCCCTCTGTCTCCCCTTGTGCATCTGTGTTTATTTAGTTGTGTGAGTCCTTGTGCCTTGTTTCCCATCCTTGTGTTTTAATCCATCATGTTTCCAGAGCCCGCCATGTCTGTGCTCTCCCTCGTTTTCCCGTGCTCCATCTAGCCTGCTTCTCCTCCACTTACACATCATGTTTCCTTTTTTATTGTAAAGGTCCCATGTTTTCATGTTCATTCCGTTTAATCTAGCTTCCCCTGTCTCGTTATGGTTATTCGTATTGGCAGTGCATGTCCTCACGTCCCTGTCATCCCTCTGTGTATTTAGGTCAACGTCTCTCTCAGTTTGGTCCTCCCTCATGGCTGCGTGTCTCTCCCCGTGTTTCCCTGAGTAATTAGATTAGATTAGCATTAGAATTTCCCAGTTTAGTTTAGCATTGTCTTGTATCGCCTTTTCCCCCATTCAGTAATAAAGCTGTATTTTGAGTTAAGTCCCGTTTTCCATGAGTTTGTGTTTGGGTCCTCTCCTGCCAGCACACAGACGTTTCATGACAGTCAAATGAGAAGCTTGGCTCCTAGTGGTCTGCAACACTGCAAAGTAAATACAGGTTCAGCATTACTGATACTGAGTACTGATTTTGATACTTTTAACTTATATGGCAGAGAGCCGTGTGTCTTGATTTATCAAATAAATCATCATCAATTCGAACATTCTGAGCACATTTTAATGACAACTAAATCACTTCCACAAGAAATAGTTAACACAATAAAACAGACAAGTCAGCTTGCCATATATTTAGGAACTGGGTTTCTTTAAGACTTGGAATGTAAATGTAAGTGTTCTTTTTTCTTTTGGTCAACTTCTGTTAATTATTGTGCTATATAAATAAAGTAAACTTGACAGTCAACACAAAAAGGTTATTATATTCAGATATTCTTCATAATTCAAAATTGAGTAAACATGGAAATGATGAAATAGATTGACTGAGTACAATTCAATGGCCCATCTTGGTGGAACGGAACCAAAGCTATGAGAGGGATTACAGCAGGACCCCTCGGAGCCAAGATGCTGGTGGTGGAGTTTGCTTGAATGGAAAAGTGGGAGTGATAAAACTTAGATTTAGCTGGCAGCACCTGGGAATGCACAGATATGAATATTCACCTATATCTTGTCGTGGAAGTTTTTTAAAAATAAAATACAAACACTTGATGAGTGTCTTTGAAGTGAGTTTTATTCACTTTGCAGCAAGAGAGAGAGTCCAGTCAGCCAAAGTCAAGCCAGCGTCTCTAAAGCGGAAGCAGAGCTGGGCTTCCCTTATACAGTCAGGTACACAGACACACAACTCTCATAACTTGTAGCACAACTTATCATTTCCATGTAAAGTGTTGATGGTTTATACCTCGGTTCTTCCTTGGAACATGTCACGGCGGGGCGCGCCGGTGTGAAGAATGAGGTAGACCCAAGAGCAGACACGGTGGAGACAGAACTAGGTTTCCAAAATAAGGCAAGCCTTTATTGTGGCTGAAGGCATAACAAAAACACTAGGGAACACTGAAACTGGGAAAACTAAGAAGACAGAGAACACTGTGTAAACTAAAAAGGCTAAGACACTCTGTGAAGGAACTATGGAAAAAACTATAAACACAGAGTAACTAAGCAGGCTATGAAACACAGTGTCACAATAAGGGAAACTACGAAAATACGAGGTGAGGATAACAGACGATCTGACACTGACACAAAGACACACTGGGCTTAAATACACTGAGGCAGTCATCAAGGAATTAGAGACAGAAGGGGAACACAGCTGGGAGGAATAAGACCTAATGAGACAGGAGGAACAAAGCTAGAAACACTGACATAAGACGGGAACATGAACCTTCAGAGTAAAACAGGAAACAAAACACCACTAAACAAACACGCAGACACGACACAGAGAGACAGACTAGACACTGAACTAAACCTGCAATAAACATGAGAACACAAAAACCTACGAACTAATCCCTAAACAAGAATAACCGAAACATAGAGTCATAATCATCATTATCATCATAATAAGAAAAGAATCCAAAATGCAAAAACACACCAAAAACATAACAACTCAAAATACTGGGTCAAACTGACCCAGAACCGTGACAGAACATACACAGCATCTACTCCTTGAAAGCAGTAAAGCAATAACAGTCATACCCAAAGAGGGATATGTTTTGCAGATTATTATGTTCTAGGGTGGTCTTGCTGTGATGAGTGTCTGTCCCACTATGGTTCAAATAAGCCTGTTATATATGTGTTATTGTCAGAACAGGTGATCAATACACTAAGGAAAAATACATTTTCATTATCTCTCTCTACACATTAAAATATCATATGAATCTCTAAGATAATTACGGTAAGGTAATCGGTCTGATAAAATAACAGCTATGATGACTAATTGGGTTGTTATAATACTACAATTTCAAACTCGATACATATTAACCAGTGAAATTCTTGATACCATATTTGATATTATGGGGAAGATTCTGAACCCACCCATGTTCCACTAGCATATCGTAAATAAGAATTAGCAATAATGTAAAAATGAAGAAATATAAAAGTTTAAAGACATTAATTTGAAAATTGATTTAATTACCTATCATTTTACCTATGGCAGAATGAATATGTTTATGTTAAAACAACTGCATACATTTTTCATTAATGGCTTCTCCAAAGCACCTAGGTTGTAACCAAAACTCTGTAGCTCTGAAACTGTCGATATTACATCCTGGTTAGATGAGCATTGTACGGAGCACTGCAACATACAACTTAAAAAAATAAATGTGTGAAATGAATTAAAACTAATGTCATTTATTTTGCTTAAATATGTTTTCTTTAAAAAGATTGATTACTCTGTTAGACTTGTAATTATAAGAAACTAAAGAAAAACTTGTTGAGGAAGTTTGTCCTATTATCAATATGAACTATACCTGCGAAAAAGAATAGCAATAATTTATGAATAATTAAATGAGTAAAAATGACATTTTTATGTTTTACTTTTTGATTATGTTGAATGAAAAACGTTTTGAGTAACTTCAGCAAACTGAATACATAACAATTAAGGCACATTAGCATTAATACACGTAATGATTGTGGCATGACAAAATAATCTTTTTAACTGTTTAGAAATTTCCTTCATTTTGAGCCCATAAATGAATGGATTAAACAATGGATGATAGAGCAATAATTGTAATGTCATTAGTAATCGAGCAACTTTTGGAAAATCTGATTCCACTCGAGCTATGCCTACATCATAGATACTTAAACAGGAAATACTGATTAAAACTAACAGATGGGGTAAACAGGTCTCTGCAGCTTTCTTCCTAATTTCTTTACAACTTTGATAAGAAACAATAAATATTGTTGTGTATGTGAAAACTATGAAGATCATAGGAAGTATTACAAGATCTAGTAATGCAACCACACCAAAGACGGTAATTAATCTTGATCTTTGACAGTGAAGAGTGTAAACTGCATTGTTACAAAATATTCCCTTTAAATTAAAGCTACACAATGTTGCTTCAGCACTCGCTATTGCTTGGATTGCAATATGAACAGCAGGTATAAGCCAAGATACGACCAGGAAAATGATCACAGTGGTTTTGTTCATGATAGTTGGATATTCAAGAGGTTTACAAATAGCCACATATCTGTCATA